TTTTTTTTTCTTTTTTTTTTGCCAGTGAGGATAATCATATTTTCCGCCAACGTTGCTGCCCGATGCAACAATAAAACCTTGGTAACTTCCTATCATCAAAAAGAAATGAAACTAAGTGACAGAAGGGCCTTGAAGGTTACACTGAAGAATAGCTCATATTAGTGTGTGTTTTTAAAAGTTGCTACATTACCTGAAGGCCTTTAGGCTCTGCAATTTTGAACATGCATTTTGTCATTAAAAATGTGGCTGCTGCGGTGTAGTCGATGGTGTCTGTCTGTCGGTCATCCATCAAAAGCTCTTGAAAGTGACATGAGCTACATTAATGATGTTTGCATGCCTCACTAACACACCCTCAGAAGTGTTTGTGAGACAGAATCCGCTTGGAACCGAAATGATGAATGGCGACCCCCTCCTCTTCTCTTTTGCGCACGCCACCTCATTTCCAGAACGGTTCCTTGTTATGACATCCCGGTAAAAGACAGCCACAGAGGTCTCTCACCTCGACGCTAAATTCAATCTAATGAATGCAGACCCCAGCGCTCTCGTCGCTGAAAAGAGGCCAACAATTTAGCAATTTCTGCTGCTTGTGACTAATTCCCATATTTAAATGTGAACAGGCAAAGCTGGCCCATTTGACGGCAGCCAAGCGCATTTTATCAGTTCAGAAAGACATCAATGGCACCGGGGGTATAGAGGTGGCTGGGACTGTTTAACTGTGCAAAATTCAATCAAAAAGACAATTCAGAAGGCTGTTGAAAGCTGTTTGGAAAGCGCCGCTGAACGCATACAGGCGGATACGCGAGGGTGTTTTTTCTAGCATTATTGTATGTCTTGTCGCTTTATATCAGTTTACAAGAGTTAGCAGTTCTAAGTCAGCCCTGTTCATTATTTCTCGGCCTCTTGACACTGCAGGTGCAGATTCGGATAGCGCTTTGTCCCTGTGGTATGGAGTGATTCAGTTCTGCGTGAGCAACATCAAACTGTGTGATACTGAGTAAAACACTCTCTCTTTGTGAGAAGTGTAGTTGTGAGGCCATGGCATATTGCGTGAGGAGGGTCTTATTAGATGTTTCCTGCGGTTATTTTTCTGTTTCTGTGCGCGCAAACTTGGGTAAAAGCGAGATCAGTTGCTGGTAAACAAAGCTGCTCTCACACAAGCTAAATGTCCTTTCTGGGTACATTACATTGACACGTAATTATGATTTATACCCGCTGTATTTCGAAGATATCATTGCATAGTTTGTAGAAAAAACAAC